TGTGTGTTTGACTGTATGCTTATATATGCGTGTTGATGTATGTTTGTGTGCGTGCGTGTGGAAATTATACTATGCCAGTTTGCAATGCTTCAATTTTCCAAAATTTTTTCTAGTTGCATACGATTTTATGCAAATGCCAGGGAGGATCATCGATTGCACACAGTTTTACGTCGTATAAAGTTGTTTGGTTGTGTTGTGTGTTACCGTGGTTTGCTGCAGTGTGTTAGGTTAGGCTAAGTTATTTTATCCATTCCTTTGAAAACTTTGTTATTCAACTTTTCATTTCCCAACAACTGCTGCCTTTATTTAGCGCGTAAACCCTCCATTGAATAGATTAAAAATTCATGTTCATATTGCAAATTAAAGCAACGTTCTTATTTTTGTAACATTATGTTTGAAACAACCACCGCACCCACCACTACCATCACCGTCAATCAACTTGATGTTCTTCAGCAGTTTGCAAACATGCAACAACCTCAGATCACTCACTCACTCCCTCTATTTAGAAACATTTCTTTCTTCGGTTCAGATTTTATTGAGACTACCTCTCTTAAGAGTTTACTTTTTGTTTCGGGCTTCTTGGCTTTTTGTTTTTTGTTTTGTATTTTTGTTTTTATTTTTTCTGCTTCTGTCTTTATGGATCGTGTGGATGCGTTGAGGTTGAATTTTAAAAATTTTATGACTGCTCCGTTTCAACGAGTCAACCATCACATCAGGCTGGAACGTACTTCCATCTTCATATTGAAATGTCTTCAAACATTTCAATGACTCTTGATAATTAAATGAATCTTGTAAACTTTCGATTAACAGAAATAAATTCAATTGAGTTTTTAATTGAGCAAAAGAGAAATTGGGTCAAAATCTGGAAGATTTACTCTTTTTTCTCAGTTTTTTATTTATTTGCTTATCCTTGCAAATGTTATTGAATCAAATAAATTGTTTTTTATTGCGAAATTTATTTGTTTTTTAAACTTTAGATCATTTTAATTTAATTTTGATAAAATCAAAATTAATAATAATTAGTAACAAAACTTGATCCAACTTATGTGTTGTTCATCAACTGCTTGGTCTGCTTCTCAGTTACATTGCTACCATGTATCATATTCGATTTTCAAGCTGGTCAAATTTCCGTTTAACTGAATATTCGATCAACTATTTTACTCATTGATGATTTTTATACTATTTCACAAATTAAACAAGCACCAAGTAACATAAAATGTCATATACAAGCACCAAGTAACATAAGATGTCATATACAATCACAAAGTAACATAAGATGTCGGACAACTTAACATGGAATGTTGCTCATTTGTTTCCCACACGCATGGAATATCATCAGTGGCAGTTCCACTTATTCTTCATAGCATTCTATCATCACCTCCAACCACAGCCTACTTAGACCGTATTAGGTTGCCGTGCTCCTATCATGAACCTAGCGTATTCATTCAGTACATGGTAATGTACTCATTTGTTTATGTATCATGTAATTATCATGTGGCTAACATGTACATAACATGTACGTACGTACCATGTACATAGAGTGTACAACAGTCCACATACAAACCCACTCAATGTGCATTCATTCGTCGCACAGCACAGTACAGCACAGTGTAACTCAAATGTACAAATTAATTGACGAAAGTTAACTTACTGGAAGTTATTTTAGCCACTGCTTGGTATGATTTAAACATAACTGTCCCCACCCACTCATTCATTCACTCATTCATTCAAACGATTCTAACGAAAACTTTGACTGCACGCCAAAGTTAGCACATGAACATGACGAAAATGTTGATACGAAAAATTGCGAAGCAGTCAAATTTCTGCTGTTTTTAATGATGAAACGCAGAAGAAGGAACTAACGATTTCCTGGAAAGAAACGAGAAGAAGCTCTTCATATGCCACGCAACTATTTATAAACTCGCAAGCCTCATCCATCCATTCATTCATTGATTGATTGCTAAAAAAATCTGAAGCATTATGCTACTGCGGAAAGACGTTAAAAGCGTAATAAATTATATTTCTCGAAATCATTCACTTTCACCGACTATTCCATCTGTTATTGTGATTAGCGATGACAATCCTTCTTATCATTATCACTATGTTCATCATACTCATCATCATTCTTATCCTCATCTTCACCAGCATTAAAAAGAAACTTGATAATTAACTTTCTTGTCTTTCTCATTATTGCCGTCAAAGAAATTCTATCCATGGTCTTCATCAGAGGCCACTTTCATAAAAGAGGCAAAACAAATTAATATTCTTATCAATATTCTTTAGAATGGTAATTTTCAGAGGCATTCAACAATGAATACGCGAACGCGCATCACACAAATTTACCTGTGATGGATGATGGGCTGTGATCTCATCTGCGTTCGAAATCTGTCTATCTCTATCTTCACAATCATCTTCTTCATCATCATCTTCACTATCATCTTTTTCATCATCTTCTTCATCTCCATATTCATCATCATCATCTTCATCATCTCTATCATTCATCTCCATCTACATCATCATCATCACCATCATCTTCATCATCATCTTCTTTTTCATCATCTTCATCACCTCCGTTAAACTTATTTTTATTTCACTCACCTCTTTCATGATCCCATCTTTAATTACTCTCGATAATAATATTTTGTGCACTGTAGCGTTAAATTCAAAGTAAATTTCGTTCATTTCGTCATCATCATCAACTCATCCTCATCAACCTATCGTCATTATTAACTAACTCATCGTCATAAACATCATCTGCATTGCTAACATGACATACATGCACACATACATGCATGCATACATGCATGTATACATACATACACACACTCACACACGTACATACATACATACACACACACATACATACATACATACACACACACATACATACAACATACATAATCATCATCACCACCAACAACAACAAAAAACAATAACATTACTTTATTATCATTAACATTTCATCATTCTTATTATTTCATAATTAGTTATCAAGTCTTCCAAATCAACAGCATCATCATAATCATCATCATTTTGTCTACAACATAATTTCATCGCCAACGAGTCATCGCAATTCATCATCGTAAAAACTTTATCATCTTCACGTCCTTATTTTCATTGGAAAAATCGTTCATGTCATCTTCAGTCATTAACAACATTATCATAAGAATTGTCATTAACATCAACAACATCATCATTAGCATCATCAATCAAATTATCTATATGGTTGATGTTGTATCTTCGTCAGCGTTATCT